TGCAGTCTTAAATATGTCTTAATTTCTGGTTAAATTATTATTTTCTCCTTTTCTTTAGCTCAGTCAGACCATTTAGAGAATTCATTTGATGAAGTATTGAGAGGTCTGATTGTTTAATGGGCAGAAATTAGTCCCTACAAGAGTACTTTAGAAACTACCAAATACCAGGCTTTACTACAAATTCTTTAGAAGAATTTATTTCTGTACAATAGGATAATTGGTTATAAGTAGACAGCACTGGCCACAATCCAAACCCAAATTCTGATTTCATCTTTTGCTTTTTTAAAAAAAAAAAAAAAATGTAAGTGGTTAATTGTAATCAGATTAGTCTCCTTGAAGGAACAACTGGTTACTTATCCCTGATTTTCTAGATATAAGTGGTCTAACGCACCTGCAGTTAGCTTCCTCCTAGTATATGCCTGCAGATTATCATAGCTATGTCTCACTATGGAAACTCCATGTGAGATAACCAGTGTATCCAGCCAAAATAGAGATAGATTTGTCTAAAAGGAAAATTGGTCTTGGACTGGTAGAGCTGGATAATTGTCTCACTCAGGACTTTCTCCAAATAGATGGATTTTTCATTTACGTGATTGTGGAAGATACTTACTCTTCTTTGTTACTGTCTGTTTTAGTGGTGCAATCTATGCATTGACTTGGTAGCATTCACCAGTGAAATATTCAAGGGAGCAGTTTTCCAGTCATTGGATGGAATTATTGTGTCAGCTAACTGTAAGCTACGGAAGATCTTCACTTTAAAAGCAAAGCCTCAAGACACTGCTGATAAAGATGGTATGTTCAAGTCACTGTTAAGATTTTTAAATTTTTGATGTACTTTTAAAATGCCTTTGGATAGTCTGAGTACATAGAAGCACCAACCCACCAGCCACTCCTTGGTAGGAAGATGGAGCAGTCTACTTCCATAGTGATACTGCCTCAGAAACCCAAGGAGGGGTCTCTCTGAGTTGGGTCTGACTCGATGGCACATAACAGCATAACAAGAAATTAAATTTATCCACAATCACATTGAATTCTTTTTTTCTGGGTCACATGTTTATTTTTACTATAGGTGAATGTCTCAAAAATGTATTAAATTTTCTTTTTATAGTTGTTTTTGTTTATGATAGCACTTGCCGTATAAATTTTTCAGAGTTCTTTATTGCAAACAACAGAATCCTCTGTATGTGGTAGAAAGAGAAAAGGAATTTGTTTAAGGAAATGAAACAGTTAATAGAATCTCAAGGAGATCAGAAAATCAGGTTTGGAGGCTATAGCCAAGAACAAACTTCTTGTTGTTGTTCTTATGTGCTGTCCAGTTGTCTCCAACTTATAACAACCTTATGTACAACAGAAGAAACACTGCCTGGTCCTGTGCCAGCCTTACTATCCCTACTATACCTGAGCACATTGTTACAGCCACCATGTCCATCCATCTCATTGAGGGCCTTCCCCTCTTTCGTTGACCCTCCACTTTACCAAGCATGACATCCCTCTCCAGAAAATGGTCCCTTCTGACAACATGAACAAGGTAGGTTATACAAAGTCTGGCCATTCTTGCTTCCAAGGAGCACTCCAGCTCCACTTCTTCCAGGACAGATTTATGAGTCCTTTTAGCAGTCCATGTTACTTCCAGCATTTTTCACCAACACCTCAACTCAAAAGCATCAACTCTTCTTTGATCTTCTTTATTCACTGTCCAGCTCTCAAATCCGTATGAGGCAATTTAAAATACCATGGCTTGGGTTAGGCGCATCCTAGTCTTCAAGGAGATATCTTTACTCTTCAGTGCTTGAAAAGGTCTTTTGCAGCACATTTTCCAATGCAATACATCTTTTGATATCTTGACAGCTGCTTCAATTGGCGTTGGTTATAGAGCCAAGTAATAGGAAGTCTTTGATAACTTCAGTCTTTTCTCTATCTATCATGGTGCTACATATTGGTCCATTTGTGAGAATTTTTTATTTCTTTGTAATGAGGTGTAATCCATACTGGGAAGCTCTGGTAGGATAGTGCCTAAGGCATTTAACTGCTAACCAGAAGCCTGGCAGTTCAAACCCACCAGCCACTCCTTGGAAGGAAGATTGGGCAATCTACTTCCATAGTGATACTGCCTCAGAAACCCAAGGAGGGGTTGCTATGAGTTGGATCTGACTCAATGGCAGTGAGTTACGGATTTTTTTTGGTAATCCATATTATAGACTGTAGTCTTCAGTTTTCATCAGTAAGTGCTTCAAGTCATCCTCACTTTCAGCGAGCAAAGTTGTGTTGTCTGTGTATCACAGGTTGTTAATAAGACTTCCTCCAATCTCGATGCCATATTCTTCTTCATAATGTCCAGTTTCTTGGATTATTTGCTCAGCATACAAGTGGAATAAATATGGTGGAAGGATACAACCTTGACACATTCCCTTTCTCATTCTAAACCATGCAGTATCCCCTTGTTGTGTTCGAATGACAGCCTCCTGGCCTATGTACTGGTTCCACGTGAGTATAATTAAGTGTTCTGAAATTCCCATTCTTCTCAAAGTTATCCATAATTTGTTACAATCTACACAATCGAATGCCTTTGCATAGTCAATAAAACACAAGTAAACATCTTTCTGGCATTCTTTGCTTTCAGTGAAGATCCATCTGACATCAGCAATGATACCTCCGCGTCCCCTTCTGAATCCAGCTTGCATTTCCAGAAGTTCTCTGTCAGTATACTGCTGCAAGTATTTTTTTTAATGCATTTTATTGAAATATAATTTATGTACAGTGAAATACACAAAACTAAAGTGACATAGGTCAATGCTTTTTTTTTTTTTTT